ATAAGAGGACCCTAGTACAATCCTTGTTATCCCCTAAAGTCATTATTACAGGGTGGGGTTCACCTGAGTAATAATCTTGAAAGATGCTGTCCTTCAGGGTTGCCAAGGACCCCTATATTTTGGGATCCTTTTAAGGGGCCCTAGGACTATATAAGGGCTATGTATCTGAAGGCCATATTGGGGGTACAACCCTGGAACCCTCCCTAAACCCTAAACCCTAAACCCCAAATACCGGGCGTTGCAAAAAAAAACCCTGAACCCTAAACCCCTGGAAACCAAGGATTATCCCAGGACGATCTACTTCTTGCCCGATAAACGGGCCTTCAATGCGGAAATTGATCGTATCCTTGGATCGGTGCATTCAGCTTTTTCCATGGGCTTTTCTGGGTTTAGGGTTCTGGGTTTAGGGTTTAGGGTTTAAGTTACTATGTTGGGGGAAAACCATATTATTTACTAGATATATATATATATCTATACCCATCATGGTAACTTAACTTAAGTTCCTTAACAGCAATCCGGTTCTTGACACTTCAAACCACACTGTGCTAGGCTACATGGCATTCCCACAGGCAGATTCAGCCATAGCATTGGATTCCCGAACTCTAAACCCCAGACCCTAAATTCCAAAGCAGAAGCACAAACAAAAACCGGAACACCAAGCCACGCAGTCTTTGATGACCACCTGGCCCGCAAATACCGAGAATGTCCGTTGTTGGTTCCGTCTAGCGCAACGAGGAAGTATGCCGTGAAGGTTTAAGGTTTGGGGTCCTTTACTCCAAACTCCATCCCAGACCCTAAACCCTAAATCAAAGCCCAGCCACTGAGGTACACTGCTTGAGTTTGGGATGCAGTGGTCTTTCTGATTCTAGGTCAAGCTTGGGATGCTGGTTGGCTGTTTTTGGGTTCTCCCAATGCAATTTAGAGACCCTATAAGCGGGCGTGGAAATTGAAATGGGCAGGGCTTCGCTTTCATTATTTAGGGTTTAGCTATGTTCAGCCTTGATCATTTAGGGATCTGGGTTGGGTTAGGCACCCACCCAGTCATAGTGGTAACAGAAAAATCATGCGACCTCAATATAATCACCATTCTCCTTTGTGGTCACCAGTAGTGGGCGTGCATACGGATAGAATTGGGCTTTCGTTTTTCTGGTACAGGGTTTAGGATTAGGGTTTTGCCTTTAGGGGCTTTCGGGCTTAGAGCCTGCTTGATCCTTAGCAGACATGACATCTGCCTCTAAACTACCTTACATCCTCTGAGCATCAGGAGCGGAAGACAATATGACCATGGATTTCATGCTCGAGTGTGATATCGGTTTTCCTATCAAGTATATACTTGCCCCAAAAATTGAGTCTGTAGACAATGCCTAGGCAACAGAAATCTGATGTCCGCATCTGGATGAACCCTAGACCCTAACCCGCCAATGAAGGTATGGAGGTTGCGATTTTGCAGGAGACAGGACGGTTTCATGGGGACCGTGCGCTGATGCCCATAATGGAAGCTCGTGCAAAGATGGTGCCTCACGGTGTTTTGCAAGTGTCTAGGGAGGTAATAGTATATAGGGCTCTATCAGGGTGATCAATGGCCTCACAGGGATTGCACATGAAGGCTCAGGGCTTGGTAGCTTTTGGGGCGTTCTGTTTCTCTCGGCCTCAGGCGGGGTTTTCCAAACGGCAAAATCTAAGCTGTCATGTACCCCTGAGTTTGGATCCCCAACCCATGGAATATAGCCCTTCACTAGACATTTGGGACCCGACGCCTAACGTCTTTGAATTAAGCGTCTTCATGACGTCTTCAGGCTCCGGCTAGAGATCGGATGCTGGTTGCTCGAAAGAAAGGGGGGTGTCGTTGACCTATCTACTTGATGTCTTCATGACGCGTCCGGGTCAAACAAGAAGACGAACGTCATGACCATATCCACATCTTTTTTTCCACGTAGCACCCATGTAGTGCCAAGTGCCAAAATTAAGCTCAGCATCATCACATGAGTTCCTGTCACAAGGGCGTTGGTGCAGCTCATGTGAAGAACAGCCCTATTTTGCACCGTTCATTGTAAACCACTGAGGCATTAAACAAGAAAATGTGCAGTTTAATGACAACGTGCACTTCCCCAAAGACTTGCGAGACGATAAGTGATGAACACCAATAAACCTTCCCTGTCTGACGTAGATCATTGGGATGAAGCTCAGTGCCAAAACCTAGACATGTTAGGTTTATTGTTTACCCACTAAAACCGACATTTACGATATTTTTGCCCCCCGAATCCACATGTCTTCATATGTGTGACTTCTTTGTCTCAGGTACTCCTGGCAAAGACCCATCATAAGCTTCCTTTTAAGAAGCATCCCCACAAGGGCGCTACTGCGGATTCCAGATGTGTATTTCTGATAGCGACTTTCAATGAAGCTCCCTAATAAGCATACCGTTTAAGATGCCCTCATTTACCATGCTTGCTCAAATAATGATTACTTATCAGATGTCCTTGTATGCAACGTCAATGAGATTCCCGAGTCAGGAGCCCCAATGAAATTGACTACTTGGAATTTTGGATGAGACTCCCAAACAGGACCTTTGATAATAGTTCTTGTGATGAGCACTTCACATGAAAGCTGGACCCCCATCAAGAAGAAGCTTCAATAGAGCTCATTAGCCAAGATACCTATGAGCTTGATCAAAATCAACCCTCAGGAAACGTAGGAATATGATTAGGGCTTTTGAGAAGGATTTCAATCAACACGTTCAAGGCGAACCCCAAATCAAAGATGGATCCCAATTTCTGAGTCAGACCCCTAATAAAACTGATCTTTGCTAAGGATTATGAAAAGCTCCATTGGGGACAGCCCGACATGAATTCTCAGGTGAAGATTCCCAATAGTCAAGGATTCGCAATGCACAAATCCGTGAGAAGCTAATAGTGGAGATCACCAGCTAAAGATCTTAATTAGGATTTCTGATGTTTGTCGAATGGAAATCTTCAACAAAGACCTCTCATGATACGCCTAATCTACCTAAACTCAACAGAAACTTGTTGTGCAGTCTGGCAAAATGGAAGTGTTATACGGTATACTCTCATTAGAATGTAGTGTTTTTGGGGCCCTAGGGTAGACGCCTTTTGCCGAACAGCAAACGCAAATCCGGGCTCTGAATTGCTATGTCTGCCCGTCTTCTTAGAAGTCGAAACCACCTTCTTTTCGCGGATTTCCAAGCTTACAGACTGGCAGACTTCTAGAATCCCAGAATCCAGGATTTCCAGAATGCCTCCAGAATCCCAGAATTTCAGAATGAATTTGAAAAACATACTCTCAGAAAATTTGCAGCAGTGGAACAACTCTGGGTTTCTGGAAGTCTGGAAATCTGGAAATATTACTGTAAAATGGTGGTGTTACCACGCAGACTACCTTGAGATCAAAAAGTGGGTATAAGGGAGGAGTAGCATATATATATATAAGGGAGGAGTAGCAGTAGCACACACATATATATATATTATGTATATGTGCAAAACTGTACATATTATGTTCAAGCTGGTTAGCGCGCGTGTAGGACCACGGAGTTCCACGCGGGATGGATCGCTTAAAGGACTGCAGAACTGTTGAAACCCTGAGCCAAAATCCAAGTCAAGAGTGGTTACGGTATTCAAGTCCGAATAGGATGCGTGACTAGCTGTCTCCACCTGGCACCGAAGGGCGCGAAACTGATTTCAAAAAACAAGTCAGGTCTGCTGAAATGTCGAATTGTTCCTTCTGACTCCACCTGTGGCGGTTTCCCTCCGAACCGTAATGCAAAGCCTCAGTCCTCCTGACCTTGCCCATATGATCCCTATGTAGCCCCTATATGCTCGCTAGAGAATCCCCATACACCCCTTTGTTGATCCTTATGCTGGAGGAGCTTAACTATGTACAAATGCTATGCTCCCAGATGTTTTGTGTAATTATGATAGCAAGGTGTTAGGCTGTTAAGGAAGCCGAACCCAAACTCCTCCCCAATCCCGAGCCTGTCGTCCCTGAAGTCTGCTTCCGCACCCCAAGCTAATCCCTTATCCTGAGAAATAAATTCTGAGACCTTACTGCCAAAACTGGCGGGAGCTAAGGAAAATTTCTTGCGAAACGCAGCCACAGCGCTTGGGCGTCTGGATGCAAGAACCTGTGGACAGCTGGCCGACTTGTGCCTATGCTTGCGGGAAGTGAGGGTTTTAGGCTTCAGGGCTCATGGTGATTGGTAGCTTCTGATGCCTTGTAACATGTGGGAGATTTGTGATTAAAGGCATGTGCCGTTTTGCCAAAATCTGGTACGGCTCCGCAATTCGGTATTTGGGCTTCAAACCTAATCCTAGATGCAAATAGAGATTGACGTAAGGTTTGGATTTAGAAAAGTGGTCTTCGGCTGCACAAGGAATGATTCTTTTGTTGCAGTCTACATGAGTGAGAATGGCGAAAACACTTCCGGCCGAACCTACGCATCCGCAGCCCTTGATAGGTATGGTTAGTCCAAGGTGTGATGAAGAGTCCGAGCTTTGTACACTCATGCATTTGGTTTCGCGTGCACGCTCGGTGCACAGCTTCTGTATAGATACACAGGTGCGGCCGTCCAGATGCCCGACTGTTGAGAACTATCTGCGGCGATACGTGCGCATGCACGAGCCCAGTGACTGGGGCAGGTTTCAAAGTGACGTTGAGCCGGGGTTCTCAAACGAAGGGTTTTTATGGAATTTAGGGCTGTGAAAGGACTGCACGCAGATATAGATATCTGTAGTCGCGGCTGCAAAATGGTCAAGCTGATAAGCCTTGAGTTGTCAGTCTACCGTAAACATTCTGCAGTCCCGCTCAATCCCTGGTGTACAATTTACAGCTCGGGTGTGTAAGCTGTCTTCTGTTTCTTGAATCGGCAAGCTATGCGCAAGAAAATCCTCGTGTCTGCAAACCCAGCCTGCAAATTCATCTGAGGTGAGCAATCCTTGGTACAAGGTAGAGGAGCAGGGGTGCCATGGATGCACTTCGAAAGCCTGGTTCCCGAAAAGAATCCCTGCCTCCGCCGTCAAACTGAATCCAGGGGCATGTAGGCCAGAATCATGGGCTACGGGCTTTCTTGAGGTTTTCTTGTCTCAGGATCAGGGGACATACGTGTTTGAGGTTTCGGGGTTACAGGAAGAAAAAATCTTGTCATGCTTGCTGACTTCACAGCAGCATCAAGAACACGCGGCTAGGGTGCCTAGAGGCTGTCCTCTGTGCTTCGGCATGTCCGAAAGCCAAAATCCAACCCCGCCACATGAAATCCATCCTGAAGTAGTGCCCTGCACCCTAACCTTGACATGGATGAAGTATGAGAAGAGGCTCAAATTATTTCTTGTGTATAGGGCGCCCTATGTTGATTCTTGAGTCATTGAGAACCATACCATACTTGAGGGTACAAAGGCCGTATTTTTTGTCACATACCCAATGATAAATGATGTGGTTGATGGTTGATCCGCAATCTGAGATAAGAGCGTCTCAACCCCTAACCCCTAAATGACTAGACCGGATCGCCACGAACCTAACCCAGAAATGCACTTCTCATGTGCACCCAAACACGACATATCATATCCCTACATAGCCCCATATAAACTTATATAGCCCCAATATATCTTTATAGAAGCCCATATAGTCCCGTATAGCCTCTATCTAACCCCATATATCCCCACCTACCCCCTACATATACGTATGTAAGCCCATCCTTATAAGACTCTGTATCTCTATATAACACCAAATGTACACTCTCAGCTACATCGGCTTTGCTGGGCCGAACTTTGAATCTATCCGCGCAGAAAGCTATGATCGAAGATGGGCGGCAATTACCTCAACCCTTCCAACTAGGATCATATTGCAGCATAGCCGTATGATACTTATCGTGTCCTTATTATAGGGGCTAAGTAGCTAGATGTCCTTACCCTAAACTTAAATAAACCCTTTTAATGATGATGACTCCAAAAGCTCACCGAGGTAGAAGTCTTAACTTTGCTAAAGATCTTCGAGATAGGCGAGATCAGGTAAGGAGTGAATGAAGCATGGGTGCTAATCCTATGCGGACATTCAAGGTGATCTACTTGCTGGTTCTTAGTAGTTAGGGAATAATGGAATACAATCTCTTTTTTTCTCACTATATTCCCGTTATTCCCTACTAACTCTAAACCTTAATCCAGAACCCTAATTGATCCCTAAACCCTATATGTACCCTCAGAAACCCTAACTCCTGAACCCGAATCCCTAAACTGTATGTATACCCCCAGAACCCTAATTCCTAAACCCTGTACATATACCAGTTAGCTGGACCCACCACCAGTTATAGCGATTATAAGGGAGAATAGATGACAATGTTGATTATATTAGGGTCTTTTCAAACCCCAAACCCTACTTCCTGAACCCTAATCCCTAAACTGTATGTATACCCCCAGAACCCTAATCCCTAAACCCTATATATTTCTATATACACCATTACAGGGTGGGGGGTCCTCCTAAAATGTCACCTTCAGAGCTAGCAGTTGAAACTTTTCACACCGCCGGCTTCTGCGGCGCTTGTAAGAATACCGGGGTAAGGGTTTAGGGTTTAGGGTAGGGGTCCGATTAGACTTACTGGGGGTAAGTAGTGGATAGAAGGTGTATTATATGGCGGTTTGATATTCCTTTGTTCCCTATCAAGAACTAGCAAGTAAGGGTCCAGTTAGGGTCGCCCCTTAATCTCTTCAGACAGTTTTGGTCTAGCGCTACGGGTCAGCAATTCGCAAGTGGGCACAAAAGGAAATGGAGGATCAGCGTGCTGCAACAAAAAAGCCCCAATAACGCAAGCTGAGTATCTTGATGCAGCCGTTTTATATACCTTGATGCAAGTTTCCATATGTTTCGAAAGACTTCTCCTCCACATTTCGGCAAGCTAGTCGCCTAGGTGTGCCAAGCCCTGCCTGGAATTTGCAGAACGCACGCTCGAAAATAGGAGCTGCCAAGACGTTCCTGCAAATGATGCCAAGCTCACAAGCAAGCTTCTTTTTTTTAATTCCGGCTAGCTGCGCATAACCTGGATTTCTTAATATGCGGCATGTGTTTTTTTGGGCAGGTCTGAGCGTTTGACAGGACTTCTGAATGACAGAGAGAGAGAGAGAGAGATACAGAAGACAGAGGAGAGAAAGTTTTATGAGGTGATGTGGATCAACAGGGGCTGCCGCCAGGTGTAAAGATCGGTCACCTGCCGGTAGTGCAAGGACATGGGGAACTGGAAATGCAAGTCTCACAGCCCGCTTCAGAAGGGGGGAAACTCATTCCACGTCACGTAATTCTATCTTTACCCCGGGCAGCATCTGAACTTGTGCAGAGCAAGTGGCAGCAACAAGGAATGCCCATAGCAGCGGGTTGATAAGGCAAGATGTGGAATACATACGGATTCCGTGGGAAGTGTTTTGGAGTATCCTCTTGTTGGAATGCTGCAGTGCCGCGCATGCAACATACCAAGCTGTAAGGACGTTGCCCCTACGAGATGATACATCACGCGCAAAAATCTTTTAACTTGCGCGGAGGCTGTGCAATGACAAATCTTGCCAACGAGATTGGACGGGTTTATGAAAGGAATCCCTATAGTGCACAGCTTACACGTCTGCCAGCAAAGCAGAGGTGTGAGGAGTGAGATCTGAAGTTTTCCTGTAAGGGCCGTGAAAGTAGTGACAGTGTAGGTATGGTAACGGGTCGTGGAGTGTAATTAGGGTCATGAGCACCAGAAACTTGAGTCTCGCGGCCAAGTGGAGCAGGGAGACCAGCTCAAAAGGAACCACTTATTTGAGTACGGAAGTACTGGTGTAGCCAATTCTATACAGGAGGTAGCGTATTAGGTGGCATTTTTTTGAAAGTGACCCCTATCCTCCTTGGGCGACCAGACCGCTGGACAGTGCGCGGCCAAGGGGCGCAGCCTCTACGGATGCCCTTGCGTGTCCGTGCGGCCAGTAGAACAAGAAGAAGGAGAGAGCGAGAGTGAGAGAGTGTGACAGTGAGCGAGCGAGGGAGTGAGAGAGTGAAAGAGGGCATGGACTCGCACCTTTCGCGGACAGAGAGAGAGAGAGAGAGAGAGAGACAGAGAGCGAGAGAAAGAAACACGGACGGTGAGAAAGAGGAGACAGAGAAAGAGAGAGTAGAGGGAGAGAGAGAGAGAGAGA